TTCTATTTATTTTATTTGAAGAATTCTATTTAAACCTTCAAGACTCAGTTTACTCAAGTTTTTGACTTCTTGAAAAGATGTGACTTTTTGGTTTAACACTAGCAAGCAAACTTCTTAGAATTTGCTTAAAAAATTAGATGAAGTGTAACTCGATAAGCTTCTACCTGATTCCCTTCAAATTTGAACACAAGGATTCAAAGATAGTCTTGAGCATTAGACATATCAATGATGTTGATATACTCAGAATGAGATAGAGAACCTGCCAGAATGCATCAACTCCAAGAAGATTTTCTTAAAGCTTCTTCTGAGCTGGTGTAAGAGGTTTTCAATTTTGATCATCCCTACACCATTATTTTCTATAGTAATATATTTCTCAAGAGTATTCTATAGACCTTCATCAAAACCATTTATCAAGACCAATAATTTAAAAATATCTTGCTCTTCCATCATTTAAATTAAGTGGAGTCACCCCTGAATATGGAAGGATTAGCAAAGTGATATTTTTCATATGGTACTTGACTCCTTCTTGAAGGAAAGTCTTCAATGGACATATTTTTCTCATTGGATCTTTATTTGCACCATTGTTAGGTGTTATGCACATACCATGTTCTGATGCCAAGTGAAGGTGAGAAAAATACACAAGAAGTGGGGGTTGAATTGTGTTATTCGTTTTCTTTAGTTTGCTTCTGAATAGGGTTCAGATTCTAAACCACTGTTTGAATTCTGATGATTAATTACAGCGAAATAATTACCAGAAGCAAATAAATAATGACATAACACAAAGAGATTTATACTGGTTCCTCCCCTTGCAGCACAAGACATTTTCCACTATAATTAAATCATGATTACAATTTCTTATACCCTTAACACAAGACTTTACTGCTCAGACCCTCAGCCCGAGACTTCCTGCTTAGATCCTTAGCCCAAGACTTCCTTCTTAAACCCCTCAGGTTCAAGACTTTCTTGCTCAAGTCCCTCAGGCTCAAGACTTCTTCTTAAACCCTCGATTCAAGACTTCCCTAATTAGATTCCACAAATCCAAGACTTTTGCTCAAATCCCACAGATTCAAGACTGTTGCTCATACCCTTCAGGTACAAGACTTCCTTGCTTAGATTCCACGAATCTAAGACTTCTGCTCAATCAACAATTGATTAAGACTTCAATGCTCTAGCACATAGCAGGAGACTTACTTGGCTCAAGCTTCACATTAAGAGACTTGGATGCTTAAGCACATTGCAAGAGACTTTATCTAAATTACTAAACAACTAGTTTAGAAGAATAAATAATAAGGTGTAATTAATACATAATCAGAGGTACATGACAATAACCATAAACATATCACATCACTTAATATTTATAAGATATTCAATATTTAAGAAATCGAAAGGCTTTGTACAATTTACAATATATAACAAAAATTCTGCATACTCGATTATGTTGTTGTTGTTGAACTAGTTATTCTTCCATAATAATAGAAGCGAGAAACACTTCTATCCTTCTTGGCTCTTCTTATTTTTTCTCCTTGTTCCTTTTTGAAAATCCATGTGGAATCTTCAGCTACTTATAGCAATCTTAGAAGAATAGTCGTTGGAAGAGATAACTCGTACAAGTGTCTTTGTTACTCCATAGTACAATAGATGTTGAAGATAGATACACCAAAAGATCTTGATCCATTGTGTAACTTGTTTAACCGTTGCGTCTTACTTGTGATCTTGTAGTATAGATCCGTTGAGAGTAGATATCCGTAAAGCATGTCAATTTTTCTTGAGCCTTGTGAACACGGACTCTAGCTGACAGCAGATTTGACAATCACTACGTCAAAATTGATATTTTGTATCGCCTAATTTAATAGCGCTTTTAAAAAAAATGCTATTAAAAAGAAAACAAACACATCTATAATAGCACTTTATGGTCGGACGCTATTATAGAATGTAGACAATGTGATTAGCACTTTATTAAAAAGCGCTATTGTTATAAAGGAAACAAACATATCTATAATAGCACTTTTAAAAAAAGTGCTATTAAAAAAGAAACAAACATATTTATAATAGCACTTTATGGTCGGATGCTATTATAAAGTGTGACAATATGATTTTGATAGCACTTTATTAAAAAGCGCTATTATTATAAAGAAAACAAACATATCTATAATAGCACTTTTAAAAAAAGTGCTATTAAAAAAGAAACAAACATATTTATAATAGCACTTTATGATCGGACGCTATTATAAAGTGTTGACAATATGATTTTGATAACACTTTATTAAAAAACGCTATTATTAAACTTCAATAACATAGCGGGCAAAATGGGTTCTTCTGATTGAGTGATGAATTATTATTTAGTAAATTATATAAAAGAGCTTTAGATGAAAATTTAGTGAAAAGGTATAAATGGTTGATTACAAGAATTGTAACATGTTTTCGGTAACAGAATTGCTACGTTGACACCATTTTCTACACCCTACACCCAATTCACTGTTCACAAATACTTGACTAAATTTTTCAGAATATGGTTAATAGTGTGTATTTTATTGGTTAATGAAGTAGTGAAAGTGGTTAATAAATTATAGGTAAAATAATTGGTTAATGATGTAGATTTTTGTGGTTAATGCAACTCTGAAGTTGGTTAATACGCAATCCTATATTTGTGTTACAAAATAAATTTTAAAAATACATATATTTTTTTAAAAAATTTAATATTTTAAAAAATATATATTATTTTAATAAAAAAACACTGTTCACCGTATAAATACGGTGAACAGTGTATACGGTGTAAGTATTGGGTGTAAAAATGGGTGTAAGAATAGCATTTTTGTTTCGGTAAATAAAAAGAAAGAGGTTACATAGAAGCATTACATAACAGGAAAAGTTATAGCAGCAAGATAAACCCACCACAAAATACCTGCCCCAAGGTAAAAAACAGCTTGCCAAACTATACCCGTCCTACAGCCACAACTCGTACTGATAATAACAGCTCAGTCCTAACAGAATTCAAATGAAAAAAAACTTTATTCTATCCCTCTCAATTCTGATATAAAAGTTGTGACAGACTCTTGAACATAAAAACTCTATACACAGCACAGCCCCTTAGCTCATCATCCTCATGCTTCTGCCTCCAAAGACCTCGCCAATAAAAACCATATCTCAGCTTCAATATTTTTCTCACATCAAACCTGAACATAAAAATTGAGCAGCAAGGAAAGCTGTGCTTTCAGAGATACCGCATCTTTTTAAGGATGCAGTAATCTAGTTGCAAGATATGCTGAATTTAACAACTTTAATTGAATTTAGCACATGTTTGGATCCTAAGTAGTTGCAAATGGCATATAATAAAAAAAAATAACTAACTTACTTGATGAAAACGAATTTGACAGGCTGATGATGCTTTCTTAGCCCTTGACAGTATTTTCATTACATCATCCGGACTTGAAACGTCGTCTTTTATTCCGATGTGTAATATTTGTAGACTTTCACATTTCTTCAAAATATATATAGGAAGTGACAAATCCATGGACCCGATAAATTGTATAACACAATTTTTAATGCATGAAATTGGTGTATTTTGCGGTTCCACAAAGTTTTCATCACTCTCTCCATTGAAATCGGTAAAATAGTCGTCCTATTAAAAATAAATAAACAGAAATAATAAGTAAAAACATATAACCAATATAATATACAAACCTGTGAAAAATCTAGATGTACAAGGTTTGCACAGCAACTAATAATATCTAGAATCGTATCTCGAGTACCGTCGAATCTTAAATATTTCAAGTTGCTAAAGACAGGTATTTCAAGTTCAGTCTTCAAATTCAAACTTACCTGTTAGATAAACATGACATTATCCATTTAAGACTGTTTCTAAATACATTAGCTAAACAAAATAAATATTCTAATAGATCTCGTATTACCTCAGAAGGATTGAACTTTTGAACGGAATCTATATGCAAAGATGTAGCTGCAGCAAATAAATGAAATGGGAATCTTGGAAGCGAACAGTCACTCTGCCAGTAGTCAGATTCGGAAGAAGTAGTTGTGAACTTTTAAATTCTTCGGACTCTTCTGATAAATCTAGGTTACCTAGTTCCAACTCCTCTAGAGTTGGACAACCGGACAGAAAACCTAAAAAACTTTGTTCGTTTTTGAACAAAACTTCGTCTAATTTAAGCCTTAAACAATGATATTTAAATCCATTATTCGAAGAACACTTAAACTTAAAATTTTCTATTTCAAGCTGTACTAAATTACAAGACCTAAGGAAGAACACTTAAACTTAAAATCCATTACACACAGCTCTCAGGAGGATGGATCCTGATACACTTATTCCGTATCTTGCTATGAACTATTTTGATAGCTTTTATTCCAAGCACAATTCGATCTTGGAGGTAACAATCAAGATCAAGGAGGTAAACAGAAACTCACATATCATATTACAATATATTTTGTTAATTTTGATTTCTCCAACACTGATGCTTGGAGAATATATAATATTGATTGGATTTTTTTCTTCTATTCTGCAGAGCACGCCTTTGTTCACTCTTATCCTACTATGATAGCAATCTCCGCTTTTTTGGCTGCTTCCAGAATTGCATATGCCCAAAAGTATAGAGAAATTGCACTTCCCTTCACAGTTACCAGTCATTGCCCTAAGGTATGTTGATTGAAAAATTAAATGCATAGCATGTTATATCTGATTGTATTTATCCATTTCTAAAAAAGAAATCAAGAGCAACATTGTTATAATGTAGGTGTATAAAACACACATTTTTAGAATCAGTAACATAATTAGGCAATTATAGTTTATACACTAAAAATTATTGTATCCAGACCTTAGAGTGTCAGACACATGTCATTATCACATATAGACACAACACTAACATGTCTGATTAAATTCAATTGATTCATTTTCTTTAATTATTACTAATGTTGATGTGTTAGGGTCGTGTCAAGTGTCAAAGTTTGTGTCAGAGTTTCATAGATAACAATTTTTTCTTTGTTTACAGATGTTTCAGGATGATCACTGTTTGTGTCGAGGGGATGGTTCTTCTTTGCAACAGATTGAACATCCGGAATCAGGAATTCCCTCCACTTCAAAGTTAAACGAAAGCCAACAAAGCAGGGGCCTGACAGTGATGGTAGTTGATTCATCTGAAGAGATCACTGTTTGTGTCGAGGGGATGGTTATTCTTTGCAACAGATTGAACATCCGGATTGAGACCCCGAAATCAGGAATTCCCTCCAACTGTTTGTGTCGAGGGATGGTTATTCTTTGCAACAGATTGAACATCCGGATTGAGACCCCGAAATCAGGAATTCCCTCCAATTCAAAGTTAAACGAAAGCCAACAAAGCAGGGGCCTGACAGGGACTGTCCCTGCTTTGTTGGCTTTCCCTCCAATTCAAAGTTTAACTTTGAAGTGGAGGGAATTCCTGATTCCGGGGTCTCAATCCGGATGTTCAATCTGTTGCAAATAAGAACCATCCCCTCGATACAAACAGTGATCTCATCCTGAAACATTTGTAAACAAAGAAAAAATTGTTATCTATGAAACTCTGACACAAACTTTGACACTTGACACGACCCTAACACATCAACATTAGTAATAATTAAAGAAAATAAATCAATTGAATTTAATCAGACATGTTAGTGTTGTGTCTATATGTGATAATGACATGTGTCTGACACTCTAAGGTCTCGATACAATAATTTTTAGTGTATAAACTATAATTGCCTAATTATGTTACTGATTCTAAAAATGTGTGTTTTATACACCTACATTATAACAATGTTGCTCTTGATTTCTTTTTTAGAAATGGATAGATACAATCAAATATAACATGCTATGCATTTAATTTTTCAATCAACTTACCTTAGGGCAATGACTGGTAACTGTGAAGGGAAGTGCAATTTCTCTATACTTTTGGGGATATGCAATTCTGGAAGCAGCCAAAAAAGCGAAGATTGCTATCCTAGTAGGATAATAGTGAACAAAGGCGTGCTCTGAAGAATAGAAGAAAAAAATCCAATCAATATTATATATTCTCCAAGCATCAGTGTTGGAGAAATCAAAATTAACAAAATATATTGTGATATGATATGTGAGTTTCTGTTTACCTCCTTAATCTTGATTGTTACCTCCAAGATCAAGATCGAATTGTGCTTGAAATAAAAGCGATCAAAATAGTTCATAGCAAGATACGGAATAAGTGTATCAGGATCAATCCTCCTGAGAGCTGTGTGTAACAAAATATGCAGGAAAAAATCAGCAGAACAACTACAAGATTTGGAAAACAGTATCAAATCAACACATTCATTCATTTTAAGGTTGCAAGATAAACGAAATTTTCATTCAAAGTGACACAGATCCAAAAAGGAAATTGAACACAATTTCTCAAGAAACAAAAACCAGATCTGAAATTGAATTTCAAACAAGAAATCAGCAAAGAAATCAGCAAAGAAATCAAAAGAAGCAAAACTTCAAATCATCACTAAATGATTCGGAAAACAGTATCTACATATTCATTCATTTAAGATTGCAAGATAAACGAAATTTTCATTCAAAGTGACACAGATCCAAAAAGAAAATTGAACACATAATTTCAGGATTCAAATCACAACACAGATCTGAAATTTTCATTCATAGTGACGCAAAGCAAATCAAACTAAACACAGGAAGCAGATAGTAAAATTTTCATCCAAAAAGAAAATTCATAAAGTTAACAACAATCGAACCGGTAAACTCGATATTGAAGTTAAACACGACAAATTAAACAAAGATTCAAAGCAAGAACGAAACTAACTAATAACCGAACAAACAAAATTCTCATGAAACAAAAAAGAAGATCTGAAATCGAACTTCAAACAAGAAATCAATCAAATCATCAAAAGAATTCAAAGAAATCGAAGCTTCAAACCATCACTTACCTTGCAGATTATTGCAACAGCGTGCCTGCAGGGAAAAATTGTCTCAGCGCCTCTGAAGAAGTTTTCTCTAGGCATGAATAATACTTCTACGTCGGTGTAGCTATTTACAGCCTGCTTTTCATTTTCAGTAAGTTCGACGAACCCGCACTTGGGATCCATTGTTGGAAAAGGCTTCAGAATCTACCCGCGACGCGCGAAGATTGAAGAAAATGAGAATTGAAAGAGAGTGAAAATGAAAATCTGTATGCGTTTTGCAACGACGTCGTAAAATAGCTTTAGGTAAACAGTTCAAACGTTTATAATGAATGATAAACAGTTCAAACGTTTATAATGAATGATATAATAAAATTTATGTTTACCTACTTTATATGAGACTTAAATAATTAAATTCAATTATGTATTTAAAATTTTGTTATTAAGATACGGTTGTGTAGTTAATAATTTATTTATGGTGAGTCAGTTGAAGAAGTGGCTGATATTATTAATGGAAAGATTTAATAAACTCTCCTGTGTGATGTAAATGCAAGGATAATTGATTTGTGGATATTGATTTATTTGATTTATTCGATTTTTTTTAGTTTGATTTCAAATTAATCAAAATCGGTCTTAACTAATTTGAATATCAATTTTAATTAATTTAAAACCAACCGTTCAAAAATCAATCCAAATTATAATATTTATTATTATTTTATATTTTTTTAAATAGTTGTGTTATTTTTTTAAAAAATTATAATGATAGGTGTTGAGAATGTAGCAAGTGTGAGTAATGTAGGTAATAATTCTACATTGATTGAAAGTGTTGATACTTGATCATTTATCAGTGAAAGAACTCACTCACCTATCACCTTAATATTTTGAGTGAGTATGTGGTGCGTCTCTCACAAAGGTGTTCTTCTAAAAAGGAAAAACCAAAAATTTCAAGGTTCCATAGTGAAAAACTCCTCCAACACATGGTATCACGAGCCTTTGGTTTGAGGAAGAGACCAACTTATTTGTACCGAAAGTTAACGGCGCCATAAGGGTGGTGAGTAAGAAACATTTCGTTGAAGAGTGTCAACGGTGCCATAAGGGTGATGAGTAAGAAATGTTATGTTGAAGAGTGTCAATGGTGCCACAAGGGTGGTGAGTAAGAAACATTTTGTGTAGTACAAGAGTTTGTGAAAGTAAGATGAGCTTTCACTTGAAGAGAAACATTGTGGACTCACACTTGAGAGGAAGTGTTGAGAATGTAGTAAGTTTGAATAGTGTGGGTAATAGTCTCATATTGTTTGAGCATTTATAAGTGAGAGAACTTACCCACCTATCACCTTAAGATTTTGGGTAAATATGTGATGTGTCTCTCACAAAGGTGTTTCACTAAAAAAGAAAAACCACAATGTTCAATGCTCCCTAGTGAAAAACTTCCCCAACAATATGGATTGAAAATGTAAACTACCCATTCATAATCGTTAGATTTTTATAAATTTTGGACTTTTACTTTAATTACTTCTAAATTTAATTATTTCTAAAATATCAATTAAGAATGGTTGTTATGTATTTTTCTTTAAAAGGGGGACTTAAGTCCAAAGAAAGAAACTAAGCACAAATATTTTTAGGGATGCTAATCCTTAACATGTCATGAAGGAAAGCAAACACAATTTCAGATGGGCACTCGCCATAGATGATTAGTCCATGGTCACTCGTTATGCTCAAATTAGCTAAAGTGTTGGCACATCAATTAGTTTCGCGATAAACATGCTTGATGCAAATATCCCAATCCCTATTGATCCACTATTTGATTTGTTGGATGAGGTCTCAACCTTCTTTAAAGCTTGGTGCAATAGCCTTGGTGATTTGACGGTTGTCTGAATGCACATATAGCATGTGATAAACTTTTCTAAAATTGAGCTTTATCCCTTCAAGCGAACCCCATAGCTTAGCTGTCGTGGCACTGCAAGAGCTAATATTTTTGGAAAAGCCTCCTAGCCAATTTTCTGCATTGTCGCGAAGCCAACCTCTGCTGCCAGCTTTTCCATCAATTTTCGTTATGCCATCCACACTCAACTGACACCAATTTGGCGGAGGGGTGTCCAAATTATATGGGAAATCATCTTCTTCTTTGGTATAACCAGTTGATGAGAAATATAAATAAGCTTACACTGATTGAATATGCGTTTTATGTCTTCAGCTAGATCAGATGACATGACAAACTCTTTGTGAAGACATGGCCTCTCAAACGATTTTGATGACAACACACTCTACAATATACAAGGATGGATAAAAGAATCTCAAAGAAATCAAGTTTGAGGAACTTCAATTTCAAATCAATTTGTCAAGACTTGGTAAAGAATGAAGACAAAGTTTTACACAAATGAAGGTACAACATTTAGCTTTTATATAGTTTGTACAAGTGTTCAACTTCATCTCTCATTCTTGCATATCATATTAAAAATGTTTTAAAATCATTACAATGCATTTTTGCCTATGTTTCAAAATGTTTTTACAAAATCTATTCAGAGTAACCAGCTACTATTTCTTGGTAATCGATTACCATGTGTTTCTTTTCAAATTTTTTAAAACGTTGAGGCTGGAAACCGATTACCCACATATGGTAACTGATTACCACTGGCGCAGTGAGCCAGAAAAGTGTATCTGTTGGCAGAATTTTGTTTTCTCATTTCTTCTTGAACCATGGCAACTCTTGGTCATTTTCACTCATTTGAAAAGGTGTTTAAAGGCATTTATATACCTCATAATATCAAACTTTGAGATTAACCTTCTTGCAAATTTTAAATTTTATTTTCATCTCTAAATTTTCAAATTTTCACAAGTGTAAAAAATTCTTCATTTTCAAGAGTGAAACTATTATACTTCAAATTTCATTATTTCATCATAGTTTCATTTCTCTACCTTTGAACACTTGTATTTGATATATAAGAGTTGATTTCTCAAGAAGAAGATCAGTCGCAAGATTGATAATTGAAGACTGCTGCAAACTTACTCAAATCAGAATTTATTTGCTTTTTAATTACATCTTATTTTTCTAGGATTGTTGGAAATAAGTCTGTAAGGTTGTAACCTTGCTTTTCAGGATTGTTGGAAGAAAGAGGTGCATTTTGAGAGGATTGTTCTCATTGGAAGTGAAAAATCCAAAAGGTTTGTTCTTGGTGGTTGATTGGTTAGAATATGTATATAAAGAATAGGTAGAAGTCTTGTCTTAAGATCTAACAATATTGAAAAATATCTTTTGTGTTGAAAGAGGACTGGAGTACTCTCAGACTGTAAGGAGAACTAGGATATACCGTTGTGTCTCTTTACTTTCCGCTTTTACTGCATTCATCACTTAGTAACTTTTAGGAAAGTAAACAAGAAATGTACATCAAGACCGGAAAAAAAATTTTGAGTACTTAATTCACCCCCCTCTTAGGTGCAACTCTACTTACAATTAGAATCAGAATAAGTTATAGGTAACCTGTTCCTAAAAGATCCAGATGGCTTCCACTAGCGCGAACCCAGTTTTCAAAGATGGTGGTAGCAGTAATAAACCTCCTCTGTTCTTTGGAGAATATTT